CCTCGGGCAATCACACAGAACCATACCAGCCCCTCGGGCTACATATTACATCACAATGGGTACCCGCGCTCACTAGGGGTGTGCAGACTCCTGGAGGGGCCCCTTTCGGCCCAAGCGCAATAACAAGCCATCTCGTGGCATCAAATCTAGGCCCTCGGCCTCATATCAATCAAGCCACCTCGTGGCGTACATATCTCAGGCCTTCGGCCTCACATCAATATCAGTGTATCACCGCTGCGGCGTGCAGCCCGACCCAAAAGATATCCTCACAACACAGGGCCTCAGCCTTACTCAGTCAAAAATCACATATGCCTCTCGGACAACAGTAAAACAGTGTTTCTCAGTCCAAAACATCATTTAAATATCATTTGAGTATTAAAACTGAGTGAACATAGCTGAGTTTTGAAAACAGTGGAAAATAACATGACTGAGTTCAAATATAAAGTCAAAACAGTGATGAAATATTAACAAGGATCCCCGAAGGGTTCAAATAGTTGGCACGAAGCCCAAATATGGCATGCAACCCAAATAATGATGATAACAAATAGATTTCAGTCAAATACGCGGTAAAATCATCAATTGGGACGGACCAAGTCACAGTCCCCTACAGCGTACGACCCCACGCTCGTCATCAAGCATGTGCCTCACCTCAATATAGCACTACGATGTGCAATCCGGGGTTTCAAACCCTCAGAACATCATTTACAATCATTACTCACCTCGAACCGGCTAAATCTCTAGCTCGCGACGCCTTTGCCCCTCGAATTGGTCTCCACGCGCGTCGAATCTATCCAAAATTAGAACGAATACGTCCCAATATGCTAAGGGAACAAAGCCCAAGCAAAAACAATCGAAAAATACCAAAAATCCCGAAATTACCAAAACCCGAGCCTGGGGCCCACTTCTCGAAACTCAGAAATTTTTACATCAATAGATTCCTCATCTCCCCACGAGTTCATACATATCAAAAGTGTTCAAATCTGACCCCAAATGGTCCTTCAAATCCCAAATCAAAAGTCCAATTCTCAAGCCCTAGCTCTTAAATTTTAGGCTTAGTTTTCATGATTTTCTAGGTGGAATTCACATAATAATCGAGTTTTTTTAGTCCAAGAATCTTACCTCCAAGCGTTTCCCCTTGAATCCCTCTTCAATCTCCTTCAGAAATCTCCCAAAATGAACAACTATGGAGGAAATGAGCCCCAAAATCGCGGATAAAACGAGTTATAAACATTCTGCCCAGGCCTGACTTTCCTTCTTCGCGAACGCGGTCAAACCATCCCCTTCGTGAAGCACAAACTTACTTTGACCAAATTTCCTCTTACTCGAACGCGACACAGCCTACGCGAACGCAATGACTTACACAGACAACCCTTCCCGAACGCGATCCCCTAGTCGCGAACGCGAAAAACACTTGACCCCAAACCAACTGATCCAAAAAGACCCTACGCGAACGCGGCCTAGACTCTCGCGAACGCGAAGCTTACAATCCCTAACCTCGCGAACGCGTGACTCCCCTTCGCGAACGCGAAGGCCAAACCTGACGCATCCCTTCCTGACCCTTCGCGAACGCGAGGGTCCACTCGCGAACGCGAATTCAAAATCTGCAACTTCCTTAACTCAAAATGATCCGATTGACCACCCGAAACTCACCCGAGGCCCCCGGGACGTCAACCAAAGGCACCAACACATCCTAAGACCTTATTCAAACTTGTTCCAATCATCAAAACACCTCAAACAATATCAAATCACCCAAAACACATCGGATTCAAGCCTAAGTTTCTAAAATCTTCCGAAATACGCTTTTGATCAAAAACCAAACCAAACCACGTCCGAATGACCTAAAATTTTGCACACACATCCCAAATCACATAACGAAGCTACTGCAACTCTCGAAATTCCATTCTGACCCTTATATCAAAATCTCGCCTACCCACCGGAAATCGCCAAAATATCAACTTCGCCAATTCAAGCCTAAATCTACTCCGGACCTCCAAAACCCATTCTGATCACACTCCTAAGTCATAAATCACCTCCCGAAGCTAACCGAACCATCGGAACTCACATCCGAGCCCTCTAACATATAAGTCAACATCCAATTGACTTTTCAAACTTAAACCTTCCTAAAAGAGACTAAGTGTCTCAAACTTCAACAAAACCAATCCGACGAACCCGATACCTCAAAACACGGATAAACAAGCCATAAAGAAGCAGAAATGGGGGAAACGGAGCGGTAACTCATGAGACGACTAGCCGGGTCCTCACACTGGAGTCGTAAGTTTCCACCTTCTTGTCGTTTGCTTCGATCTTCTTTTCCCCAACTCAATTCGTTTTCTCAGTTCTTCGAGAATCTTCATGATTGCGGGATTGGTCTCCGATTCTTTCTTGTTAGATTTTCTTGAAACCAATTCGACCCTGTGGACAACCTCTTGGGATGGATCGGGCTCGATCCTACTCGGTAGGTGATTCTGGTTTTGGAGCTATGCTATCGCTGCCTGTTGAGCCTGCAACATTTCGAAGATCACATGTAGGCTGATCCCACCATCTTCACCACCATGAGTGCTTTGAGCGGCTGATCGAAAATTCCCACGGATGCTTCCCTCAGGATCGACGACCAAATTTGCGTTAATGCCTACATGTGAGATGACGTCGATTGGATCTACAGCCGGAAATCCATCGAGGCCAAACGGGAGTACGTCGTCCTTGGTGCTATGTTATCATTTTCGCCATGGTGGCCCAAATTAATATCAACGTGTAGGGTTGCTAATTGAGAGTTCGACATTTTGGTCCTGGAATCAAATTTTCTTCAAAGAACAAGTGTTAAAATAGCGTGTGTTATGAAAGTTTGTACCAGGTAATCACTATTATCCTTAGCCCAACGGTGGGCCCCGGTTACTTGTAGCAGTTAATTACTATTAAGAGAAGTAAATAAGCGACGGTTAGGTGAGAAAAATTAAGAGGAGGGACAGTTGATTTTATTATTCAAAGCACATAAATGTGAAAAATAAAGAAAAAAAGGATTAAACTGAATATTATAAAAAATAGGAGAAAATGGATAAATACAATTTCTAGGCATAGGAGGTTCCACATCACCTTTC